TTAAAAGATTGATTGGTAAAATAAACTTGTGCAGTTATTATTAATCTTGTAGAATTCATTCAAGACATTCCCTTAAGCATTATAATTATAATAGTTTTAATCTAACTTCAACGTTCACAAAAAATATAATTGATTTAGCAACCATCTCCTTAAAATTTTTAGTCCGGACCTGTCGAACGACTGAAAGGTCACCTTTTCAAGTACAAAAATTAATTACCAGAAACTGAGCGTGTGGTTAGGCAACCTAACCGTAACTTGATTGAATAATAAATACTACACAAAATAACGTATTTTACTGTGGTTACAATTAAATCATTTTTAGCAAATTAACATGTTTTATTTCTGTGGTTTAATTTATACGAAATCTAATCAAAAGATTTCTTAGTTAAATAAATTCTACTTATTACCGTCAATTTATCTGGTTTAGGGATCTTAAACAACACATTATCACAAAAATGTTAAATTTCTACGAATTGCAAACTTTGATGACATAAATACACGGATAAAAAAAGAATCCGACTATTTGTAAACTATTATAAAACATACATAATTTTACGAAAATTTTGACTTGCAGATGATTTGTTTGTTATGTTTCAATAATTTTCTTTCAATTGATCACCAAAAAACAAAAAATAAAACAAAAGAATATTAATTTCATCGTTTTCATCTCCAGTAACACATTTAAAAGTGGTATTCGAAGCTTGGAAAACACCAAATTACGTCAAACCCCTCTTAATTCTGCCATAAATCCTTTATTCATAGGAGCTAAATCAGAATATGGTTCATTAAATCATCTGCAATTGAATTGTAGTATTCATTATAAGCTTCGTCTTCTATCATTTTTGTAACATAAAATAATAAAAGAGATTTTGATTTTTAACGTTTGTTACGCCAAAATTAGTAAATTTATCTACTTTACATAATAATCTAAATTAGTTCCAAAATTTTTAAATAAAGCAATATGAAACATCCACATAGATCTAAAGAGGATAAAAAGTGGAATCGAATGATAAAATAAAATATGGTAGGTGCCATTTGAAAAGACGAAGTTATTCGTGTTTGAAGTTTTCAAACTGGATTTTTTTTTGGACGCCCAGTACAAATTATGAAGCTCAATTTTGGTATAACATTAGTCAATAACTGGTAAAAATTTCAACACTGTAACTCATTTCTTGTGGATGTTATGATTTGTTATAATTTGGGTTGCGGTAGAGTTTTTTCTATAAATTAAATTATGTCAGAAATTATTCATTTAGGGATACAAGTTAGTTATCAAATTTACTTTAAAATTTCGTGTTTTATACGAATTCGCTGTAAAAAATATACTATTCCATTTAAAATAAAGAATTTGACATCAACATCCAGTATAACCGGAAGCAGCCGACAGTTGAAATTATTTTAGTTAAAAATATCGTCATCGATTTAATTTGGCAGTAGGGGTTCTGCCAAATTTATAGATCTCTCGGAGCATAAGCCAAAAAAAGCAATGTACCTATTTTTCGCAATTACAATAAGGAAAATTTTGAATTTGTTTATAACAAAAGACTGTAAAACAAATATTTTACAATTTATAAAATGATTACTTTGAAAGGGGGGACAAAATTGATATTCATGAATAACTAAATAATTTTTCAAAAAACACAAAATTCGCGATACTTTTTGAACAGACCTCGTACATGTATCTGTGAACTACGCAAACCAGTGTTTCCGAATTGCTATTAAGTATTAGTTAAAAACACCTTAATAAAAGCAGGAATGCCTGTAAGGGTGTACAAAATTTCACTGTTTAATTAATAAAATTGTAAATTAATCAATTTTTAAATTCAATTCGACTAGTTTTTCTTATTCAGGAAATTCATGATTCTATTCCGAAAGTGTATCTCTGAGCATACATATTAGTTCTCGAGTCAAAAAGGCAAGATGACCGAATGATGTGATTATAAAAAAGTCATTAGATATTGGGACAAAGACAAACAGATATCACCCAAAGAATGTTATGGTAGTAGGACTGTTAAAATAAAGTATATTGTTTTTTAAAAATGCATAATTCATTCCACAATTTAGATACCTATCAAAGAAAAACTATTTCAAATTTCTCAATCTTTGGATAGAAGACTAAAAGTTCTTGTTCTTAATGCTACACGCAAACTTGAAAAGAACGATACATTGCTTTCCTTTTTAAACGATTACTATTTTTGATTATCAAGCATATTCCAAAGTATTATTACCTTATTAGGTACATTTTTATACTATCACCTTTCTTCATAACGAAAAATTTAATCAAAAAATAAACAGCACAATTCTCCTAAATAATGCTAATCTAATATTTTTGTATGCATTTTTAACTATAAAAATGTTTCACTGTTACAAATCCTATAAAAACCTGATGTACTGTACACATCGTAAAAATATCCAATTTACACAAATATAGAAGGCAAAGTGAAATCATTCATTTATCAATTATTTTCTTAGTCTGCATATGCATTTTACATAGATTATTTTATTAAATTCTGAAAATCTGTAACATTTCTATCATTATTATTGTATCATTGTACTCCAGTCTATTAAAAACTGCTGCAATTGCTCCTACTTCTAGGCAACCCACTGTATTGCAGAGCATTTTCATCGTTAGTGTAGCAATTGTAATTTCATTGTTAAAGACTCCGTTTAAAAAGAGGAGTTAAAATATTCACAAGTTTTAGGTACATTGATAAAATTAATTTATTAAAAAATAAAAACGACGTCTTTAAATTAGGGGTTGAAAGTGCACATTGGAAATTTCCAAGCATAAAATTATTTTTACTGGTAAAAGAACTTTAATACATTTTGGTACTTTTAGTCTTTTATTAAGAGATTTNCTATAATGAAACCGAATCCCGTTTCCCTAATTTTAACATATTTGGTGTCCTGAATTTGAGGCTCTATATTTAGTCTTTCTACCATTAGGTCATAAACTTCTCTCCTATAATTGTCTGGAGCGGGCTCAAACCCTTTTATTACTATATTACTTTGTACGTCCCGTCTTTCTCTGACTTCTCCTTTCCGTTTCAATTCATCAATTTCTCTCCGCAGAGTGTTCCTTTCCTCCACCCAAGCTTTGTTTTTCTTTTCTAGATCCTCACGAATATTTCTAATTTCGCTTAGTAATATCCTTATTTCACTATGATCATTTTTTATTTGTCCAAATTGCATTGCGAGATCGTTTATTTTATCTAGTATTTCTAATAGAACAGGCGTTTCGACTGTGTTACCTGTCTCATTGTTCTCTTTGTTTTTACTTTTACTCCTAGTTGTCCTAGGTGGATCTTTAAACATTTCTATTATTGTATTTCCCTCTGCCTTTGGAATTTGACTTGGTTTAATGAATATATTACATACGTTAATAAGTCCGTGACCAACTCTCCAGGAGAACAATGCAGTGTAGACAATTTGGAAGAGCAATTCTGGACTAACAACTTTGTAGTATCCACTACTATATTCAACAATCCAAAGCACTGAGAAAACTGCATAGGCAAATAGCCCGAAATACTTTTTTCATAAGTGTAAAGTGCAGTTCAAAATATCCTTATAGCAGTGGAAAATTATTGGGATGCTAGTGTATAGAATAGTTGAATAAAAGCAGATATAATTTAATAAACATAAATGTTAACTATATTTTTTAATTTAAATAGTTTTGAT